CCACTCCAAATGAGGATGTTCAGCTTTGGAATCATTGAAGTGAACTAGCATTTTAATTTGCCAATCGGTTGGTGAATAAGAGTTCTCGGCAAAAAAACAATACGTCCTGAAGTCCACACCATGCCCCTCTATAGATAGAAAAGAAATGTTTCTGTACAATTCAGTTACTGGATGCTCATTTGAATTGGCTTCCTGAATCTCCTCAAACAGTTTGATTTCTTTTGCAATGCACTTATGAATCCCACGCCCATCTATCATCACAATGTAGCAACCCAATTCCTTTTGATTCCATCTGCAAAAGAGATTGTAAGACTTATCTATATTTTTGCACTTTGAATGAAGGTCTATGAGGGCAGCAATGCTGTGATCATTGAGTAAATCAGTGTCATGGTGGCCAATGTAGGCTTGGAGAAATCTTGCTCGGCTGGGAGACTCGGATTGTGCAAAGGCAGAAGCAAGGGTGGCTATAATAGTGTGTTTGGGATGTCGACCATGGCAGATATCCCGCATCAGGTGGAACAGGGCCTTTGCTTCATCTATGAATCCATTATGAGTATAAGCTGTGATCATTGCAGCGTATGAATGTGTATTCTTAACAGGCATTTGTTCAAACAGATTTCGTGCAGTGTCCATGTCAAAGAAATCCATTATCTTATACAAAGGATCCCACTTCAGAAGCTCTAATCTTACATAAGGAGAAAATATGTATGGTGCGCTTAGAGATATGTATGCATATTGATAACTAGGAAGATGGCATTTCTTCCACCTTTCAAGTCTTTCCTTGACAATGGAAATTTTGGAATATTTATCAACTGCATTACTAAAAACTTGTTCAACAGTTTGGAGCAACTCATTCCTACTGGATCGATAAGCACTAATTTCACTATCACTTTCATCACTAGACACCGTACCTTCAATCTGCGGAGATTCATCAACTCCCTTTGCAATGAACGACAACCTCTTAGCCTTGGCCTGAACTTTTATGCACTTTTTAGCATCAGCCCTCACAACATAATCCATATGCTTTTGTAGGTTAACATCCCTGCCATACTCATCTAACTGAACAGGCAAGCTTGAAATTTCTGTGCCAGATGTTAGGGAAGCCTGAGCTTCAATGGTCGCTGCAACCATATAAGCAGAGCTAGAGCCTCTATCTAGAACAGAACATGCCGCACTTACTGCAGCCTCTAACCCAACATTCTTATCAGTAATATCAGCAACAGCCCTCTGCTCATGTAACTTCTTCATCTCTTCTTCCAATTCTTTGATACTAGAACGAGCAATAGATTTAATCGGTTGTGCAGGTGCACTGGAGGAGATGGGTGACGGAGTGGGAGTGCTGGGCGAACCTGATGCTTGGATAAACGGGAGAGGGATTTGAGCGGAAGACAGGAGTGAAGGGAGTGAAAGTGACGAGTCATGGACGACGGCCGAATGATGGTTGTGGACTGTGCGATCGGGAGGAGATGAATCTTTTGTTAGAGCGGGAATGTTGTGTGGGGGCGAAGGTGATCGGGCCAATCTGATAAGTTTGATGTCGCCGAAAGGGTTTAGGTCTGGGACACTATCTGCATCCGGCCTTCTTGAGCTGGAGTGGTTCGGTTTAAGGCCGGAAGGCACTCGAGAGGTGAAAGCGGGGGCAGAATCCGGCGGACTGATTACAGGGACAACAACGAGCAGATCTAAAGGCCCAAGTGGGGTTGGGCGTGCTGGGGGTGTGCGGAACTGTGTGGAATTGGAGTCGCGATAGCTGAGTCGGAGCGGCAGCGGGGGTATTAGCGGGAGCGGGAGTGTGAACGGAGTGGCAGCGGCGAAATCTTGATGGAGGGGATCGGGATTGCGAGATGGATTGGAATGGATCTGGAGCGGAGGCGGTTTGAACGGAGCTGGTTTGGCGTTGGTCCGGTCAGGCGGAAGCGGAGGAGGATCACGCCATTTGAGTGGAAGCTCGAGCGGGGGGTAGTCGTCAATGACGGTGGAAGAATGGCGGGGGTGG